CCCCAAAACCCCAAAACCCCAAAACCCCAAAACCCCAAAAACTGCCAAGAAATTTGAATTAATTCTGATTTAGCCTTTCTTCTTGCCTTTTCTACCCTTCTTTCCTTTCTTGTTATAAGCTCTTCTGGTGATAAGTCCTCTGTAATGGGCCTGTATCCATTCAGCAGCCTTATCGAGCATGCCAATTTGTTGATCTCTTTCTTGCTCAAGCTTCTGTTTCTTCATAATCTCTTCTTCCTTTCTTCTTTTCTCTTCCAATTTGCCTCTATAGAGATTTTCCACTAGAGCAAGTTCCTCTTGAACTTTAGAATATTGCTCTTTAAGGTTGTTCAAACTTTCATGATTCTTCTCCATATCTTTGTCATAGTTCAGGATGCTATCTCTACAATTATTCTCAGCTCTATCAAAGTCCTTCCTAAGCTTCTCTTCATTCTCAGGATCTTCCTTCTTGGTGAGGTTAGCCAGCTCAGTAGTATAGATATTTTGTAGTTGATCCCTTTTCTCTTTAAGCTCCTTCATCTTTTTGTCATGCTGTTTCTTATTCTCTTCTTGATTAGCAATGCTTTCATTACGAATGCGTTCTCTCTCTTTCTCCTTCTTCATAGCTTCGGAGGAGCGTTCAGTTGTAAGTTTAGATCTCTCATTCTCTAGTTGCTCACGCCTCTCATCTGTCTTTTGCTGGAAGTTAGCAAAAGCTGTTTGCTTTTCCTTCAAACGTTTCCTCAAATTCTTGTTCTTAGTGGTCAGTTCCTCGACTACTTGGTCCTTGCCATTCTGTTCTTCAAGAGAAGTGCTTAGTTTGATGCGCCAGAGATCACGCATTTTAGTAACATAATTTAAAAAATCAGCCATATCGGTACTCCTGTGGTCGTCAAGCCTTCTAAGATTATGAAGGTTTTCCTCCTTGTCTTTTAAGATGAGCCTAATCAACTTTGATGTTGACTTCTGCAATTTCTTAGAGGTGGCTCTATACTCATCGGTCATTTGCTGATCATCATCAGGCATTATTTTATGGTCAATAGTCAGGTTATTCTCCTTGAATGATCTTTCAAGTTGAGCATGATACTGTAGTTGGTTCTTTAATTCATACGAGAACAACTGGTCTAGGCTCAGATCTTGTGCAATAATGTTGGTAAATAGTTCAGAAGTCAGGTGAGAAGTGACTTCTAGTTTCTCGACTAGGTCATCGAGGATCTTTCAGACCCTCTGCGCCTCCACATTGATAGGCTTGGCCATTTAAAATTTTAATTATTATAATTCAATTTTATTTTAAACTTAGGGGTTTTGGGGTTTTGGGGTTTTGGGGTTTTGGGG